GGTGGAATTCTGGGAAAAATCTCCAACCCAGCAAGAAACAGGTTTCAAAATACGATTAGCATCCTCAGGCCAGATGAAGATACCCTGCAAGATCAAGTGAACCATTTAAAGTTATTTAATAAAAGTCCACACGTGGCTTTCTTTCCGTGCTAATCGAGTGGCAGTGCTCTCCTATACCTTCCCCGTGTTCCCTCTAGTCATGAAATAAAGGGGAAAAAATTAAACAAGGTTTAGCAGTGGCAATAAGATAAATAGTTTCTGCAGAGATTTTTTCAGAGTTTATGAGATTTCAGTTAATTTTAGCGGGGGGGGACAGCCAAGGAGAGCCAGAACCGGGAGGGGGAGAGATGCAGGATACCGCCCTGCTGAAAATGGGCCATTTTGCCACTGAGTTTTGGAGGCCCAATCTTGGGGCTGGGGGGGGCTACAGACAGAGCATGGGTTGCACCTCCAGGTGGAGAGATAGGCAAAGGGAATCGGGGTGAAAATCTGGAGGGCATGAAGAAATAAGAGAGAATGGGGGAATGGGGCCGGTCTGGACATCGGAGGAGCCTTGGAAAGGCATCCCGAGTGGCCCTGCTGACCAGAGAGCCCACCGCCCAAGCGACGAGGAAGGTCCTTCAGGAGATGCAGGAGAACCCTCCGCCCTAGATGCATTTCTCCAGCCAGATATCCTCGCGGACAGAACGGCCTTGGCTTCCAAGATCTGCCAGACTGGAGGCCCACCAACCCTTCTCTCTCTTGCAGGATTAGGTACGGAGGGTTGCTGAAGCGAAAGGTATCTCCACAACCCATGGATTCTGCTTTCGAAAGTACCGTGAGTATCCCCAGGCCCTTCTCGAGGCTCTTCTTCCCAAGCTTCGCCTAACTTCTGAAAACTGCCTAAGGCTTGAAGAGGTCATCCCCGCCTTGGTGCGTCAGACTGTGACTCCCGTCATCCCTCCAGGATGGCCGCATGGGCAGGGAAGGAGAACACAATTGCCCTGACTGGCAGCTCCCGTGGAGAGCCCTAGAGTTGGAGATCCTGGCCAAAAAGCTGGAAACCCCTCCATGACCTCCCTGGGGAATGTTCTCCTGGATGAAACAGGGAACAGAGGAGAAAGGGTCCATGGCCTTGGCATCAGGGACATCCCAAGGGGTTATCACAAAAATTAAACAGTGCCCAATTGAAGCCCTACCCCTTTTACATGGGTAAAAAGGGGAGAGGCTTTGCTCATGTGGCTGTGGCCTCCGTCCTTTTTTTGCTTTCTCACCTCCCCTGCAGAAGACCCTGTGTGGCACCCTTGTCCTCAAATCCTCTCCCCAGAGATCTTCCCTGGCACCCACCCTCCTAACTGTTAACAGGCACAAGATGTTCTTAAAAACACCCTACAGGGCTTGGGAACGGCTTTCTCTCTTCCATTGTTGTAACTGTGTCCTGGCCTCCCAAATCACTCCTAATCTGGACCACGGCTGGAATGGCTCCATCAACCTGTAACGGGCTGTGAGAATGACCTTGGGAGACAGGAGGAAGAGCCGCAGCCTAGGCAAGGGTCTGAGAAATCTGAGTCCAAGGGAGGGATGGGGGTGGAGAAGGCATCTCAGAAAGGACCCTCCCTAGTTTTCCAAAGAGTAAAAGAAGAGGGGAGAAGCATTTTCAGACTTGCAAGAGTCTGTTCCTGTAATCTTACCATAAAGGTAGCATTAGTACTCATGGCTTTGGTTTTCTTGCCTGGACTACCTTGAAGGGCTGACACAAGCTAACCTCATCTCCATAAGGCTCTTCAGGGTGAGCCTGGAGAGGAGAGTCTCTGAAGAGGGAAATGAACTGAGAAGTTAAGCGTAGCCAAAGGCTAGTGGGGTTCTTGTAACTACAGGCCTACTAACTTTGAAGCCTTAATAGTCTCAGTTTAGAGCAGTTTTTCTCAACCATGGGAACTTTAAGATGGGTGGACTTCAACTCCCAGAATTCCCCAGCTAGCAATGCTGGCTGGGGAA